AAAATAGCACTGAAACCAGGGGACACTAAAAAGTGATGCACACAGCTGGGAGACCACCAGCGGTGTTTCTCAATTTCAAGGAAGGCTCCTCCAGAGACACTATTTCAAGGATGCTACGTCATCGAGTCCTGCCGAAGGACTGTTCCAATGTCCAGCATACTTGGAATTCTACCAAGGCCGGCGTCCTTCTTTGCGGGAAATTTCGAGGCTGCACATGTATATCCTCCGCGGTCTTAAAATCCCCACAATGCTTTGCGCACGGACCAATTTCCAAATCTTTGGCGGGAAATCATGCTCCATTTAAGATGGGGCCTCTCATATGACGCACACCTGTTAGCCTGTTCTACCATTCTTCATTTTCCGAGGCTAGAAAGGATTCTTGCCTCGCTTCTGAAGCAAGTGACTCGGAAGACATGTCCTACCAAGGAAGCGTCCTCGACATTGAGAAACACCCAAAGACTGACAACGGACACTTAGGCATATATATTGACGGACTAATTACATGAGACCCAGCTGAGAGCAGGTACAGACACGCGGGCAGCAGGGGGGTCACACACAGCTGGAAAGAATCAAGGCAGGTTACAAAGGCAGCAAAAAGCACAGACAGGAAGTTAACCAGACAAGACAAAGAGAGAAATTATATTTCAAAATAAAACATGAAATATTACATACTAACCGAGATCATGACAGAGTTGATTACAAATTCTGTGGAACATGGAATTGATAAGATCTAGGAAAGAGATCATATTACTCCTGTATTAGCATATCTGCACATACTCCCTATACAATACAGAAAACAGATTCAAATCCTTCTCCTAGCCTACAAAGTCCTTAATGTTCAGGCACCAATGTTCAGGCACCAATGTTCAGGCACCATCGTACCTTAAATAGCTCATAGTAGCCTAAAACCCCACTAGGTTCCCAGCATGCTGGGTTATTAGTGATAAGAGTCTCCAAAAGTACAGAGCCTTCAGCTTCTGTAGACCAGTTTCCTGTTTGTGGAGGGATTTGGGAGGTACTCTCCATTTTAAGAGTAGACTAAAGACGTTCCTGTATGATAGCTTATAAAGTAGTAAGGGCATGCAACTCCATCTGGTAGCTTCATAGCCCCTCACCCAGACCCTGTGACCTACAGCTGGTCTGGGGGGTGCACTGCCACAGTGGAAATGAGCTCCAGCTGTGGTTGTAGTGTCTCTGTGTCAATTCAAATGTGTGACGGTTACACAAGCCCATATCCCTACAGTTTCTTAATGATATCCATAGTACTGTATGTGGTTGATTTGAAGTCCAATAGTAGGTTGTTGTAAGCTCTTTATGACACAAAAGAACATTATTATTCATATTAAATGTATGAAAGTGTCGCAGAGACCTCTGTCAGTCAGGGGAATTGGATTTCCCCACCTTTGTCCTGATGAGGCTGCACAGCAATTGCTAAAACACTCACGCAACGTCAGAAAATAAAACCCTCTCTCTTTTCCTCCGTACCCAAATCTTTTAAAAACAGGTGTACAACGAGTGGATACAGATTTGCTGCCGATCTGACGTCAAATCGGCAGTGGACCCACAGAAAGTTGCTATCAGAAACAATGCCTGACGTGTTTTGGACGTAATCTCGTCTTGGTTTACATTAGCAGGCCTCGCTAACACTCAGAGCTAACCTGTAATGTAGAGCACATGTGTTTTAAAAAGCAGGAAATAAAAAAAGGAACTCACCTTGTGATAAACCCGCAAGAGAAAAAGCATTTGAGCTCCATACTGTTTCAGAAATAATCCTTGACGTGGTTAGAACAGGATGGCGTTTTATCACAGCTGAATTTAACTTTACCTCCGGTAGAATTCTTATCAGGCATTAGCTCCGCCTCCTCTTTTTTTTTTTTTTTTAAGTTAAGGACCCAAAATCCGCATTTATCTAACAGGGCTGCAAAAGAGCGGTATGAGCAGTATGAGGCATGGCTACAATGGGTGATCTGTTTGGTATTTTGAAAAAA